GTGTGTGTGTGTGTGTGTGTGTGTGTATGTATTTACTTATTTTACTATCTATTGAATTGATTAGGTTCTGTTTATTAAGTTTTTTTATTTTTTTGAAAAGAAAAGCTACAACAAATTCCCAGGAAAACAAATGCTACACAAAAATCAATATAGATATTAAAGTGCCTGTGACATCAAATTTTTGTAATCAATATGAATGCATTTTTGGAAAGAAAACAATGATAAAATATTGCAAAACAATACATGCCACTGAAATAAACAGTTGTTGAGATATTTGCATTTGAATTAACAGGAAGTGACATCAAAGGGGAATGTCTGCATGGGAACAGAGTGTTGCTACAATAACTAACAACACAAACTATAGAGAAGAATCTGATGTTTCTGTAGATTATTTCGAGTCTCTATCAGAAAGATGAAGAATCATATTCATTTGTTCTTTGCTGAACAACAAAAGTCAAGACTGTATAAAATGAAAAAATTAAATACTTTCCAAAAAATAAAAATAACCCAGCATTAACCCATGAAGGAATGGGTATCATTTTCAGATTTGCATGCCAAAGTTTTAAACAAAGACATCATGTATTATATTAGCACTCAGATTGTGTCTTGGGGAGGACTCTCAGCTACTACCACACCAAATCTTCTCTCTACATCTGTAAAACTGACTGAGCCATTGTTGTCAAGGCTCTGGTTCATGAGATATTTTGCTAACAGTAAAACCATTGATTTCAATGAAGGTTGCGTGACAGATTTTTATTTGTCCCACCACATTTCCCTTCCTTGTATCATTTATGAGCACTTTGAGAAGCTCACCTGAGGAGCTCCTTTCTCGAACAGTAGCCGTGTAGCTGCTCTGGTTGAAGTACGGAGCGTTGTTGTTCAAGTCCACAACATTTATGGTCACAGCCACGGGCCCATCCACCACTTCACCATTTGCCAACGCCTCCACCTGGACACGGTTAGGCACAAATAAATGTGAGTCATACCTTGAATCATGAGAAGGACTTCTTGTATGTTCTTGAAGATGGGGAGCTTGCATTACATTGAAGATGTAGTGGTCATCTCGAGACCAGTCCAGAGGTTTCTCCAGGTAAAGCCACCCATCCTTTGAGATTTTAATGCTGTCCTCGCCTTCTCCGCTCAGCCTGAAATCGTCCACACCTGCATGTGCCACCTGAAACTAAAGTAAAGGATAGAAAAAAGTCACAAATATCACCTTTGTCTCATCATCCTGCTGATCAGCAGAGCTGAGTATCTTCTCTGCTGATGCCAAACAGCTGAATTTACTCTTGACTCTTGTTTTCTTTGTCATTGACAGAGCAGCTAAAACTTTAAGCAGACGAGCTGAGCAAGATTTGCAGTGCTCAATTTCTGTGATTTTGGCTGATCTCCATTTTTGCTAGCAATGTTTGTGAACAATAAATTACTGAAGTCTTTACCTGATCTCTTTGTGAAATTATTTTTCCACTACACACACTAAAACAACACAACCAAACACTTAATGTTTTTGTATTAAGTGAGGTCACTTCCCCTTCTTGCCATGATGTCATTTCCAGAAGGCGGGAGTTTGTTCTGAAAAAGTTGTTAAAACGGCTGTGATGTGAACGATGCGGGGTCAATTGCCAGTGATCAGAAATGCTGAGTTTTTTTGGCTCAGTGCTGAAAGGTTGTGGTAATCCTTGCAATTTTGAATGTGCTTCCTGCGTAATATCCAGGTTCGAACATATTGTTTTTAGTATGAGGCTCATGTGGCTGTGTTTGATTCTTCCACGTGCTACTGAAACACCCATTTTCTAAACAAATAAGTAGTTACATTTCCAGAATCATCCAATTCTATAAACAACGCTAAACAAGGATCATTCAAAAATAAGCTGTTTGGCAGAGAAGGTTTGTCAAAATTTTCATGGATGGAACCCACAAAAGAAAACTCCTTCGATCTGTGGCATTGTTTAATGGGAAACAAACAGGATTTCCAACAGTATAAGATTTATTGTCAAGAAGCATTGTTACAACAAACTAATCTACCAAACACATATTTCTTTGCTAAGTATTTTTAACCTGATAACCTTTTATAAGAACTCCAACTTATTTAGCCTAACTAAATCATTAATAAATGGTTAGTTAACCTTAGAAACATCATTAATTACAGACAAGTCATACTTAATAAGCTATAAATGAACACATTCATTAATACATTGTGCATAAATGATAATTACTTCCAAAACCAACATACTCTTTATTCATGCTTGATAACTGATGAATTAACTATTCTATATACTGTGTATATGTATGAAAATACTCATATTAATGTACTTTCACAGCATGTGTTGGACACATGTTAATGGTTAGAGAATGTTTGAAATGACTATCTGCTAACCCTGCAGTGAATCAATAATTAAGGCTAGTAGTTAAGTCTTTTTGTGAACCCTTCTAATGTAAAAACTATTAATGATTTTTTTATGTATTTGTTAATTTAGACCACAGGAGCCCAAAGTGGGGCCCGCGGGCCAAATTTGGCCTGCCAAGCCATTTGATTTGGCCCACCATCAGTTGCCAAATTTACAAGGTTGTAACCTGTTATTCTATGTAGAAACAGTATTTCCATTGGTCAAATGACTATATAAAAGGGCTGTAGTGAAGGTAGTTTTCAGTCATGGTGCTGACTTTATCTTTGATTTATTAGGATTAAACATGAAACATGAAATGACAACAAGAAATATTTAGATCAGGTTTAACCCCACATGTAGATTTGCACACTTTATAAGGCCACAAAAACTCATATTTTATCAATTTATGAAATGTCCCATGAGCCTTTGCTACTTGAGCGAATGGCAGACTTTTTCCAAGTGCTCAGACTAAAACAAAAGAGGGCCATTGCATAGGTTAATCGTTAAAAATAAAGGACTTTACTTAAAAAAGTATTTGTATTTCATGTGTTATAATACTGCATTTGGCCCGCAGCCCTGGATAGATTTTCATTTTGGCCCTCTCGGGGAAAATGTTTGGGCACCCCTGATTTAGACAAAACCTTGAAGGGCCACAAGTTCCTTTTCACCTGTGGAAATCAGACTGAAATCATAGTTAATTCAAACATTCTCTAAACATTAACATGTGTGATGTCACCTGATGTTTTCAAATTTAAACTAGCCATTTATAATGATTAAGTAAGGCTAAATAAGATGTAGTTATCATAATGGTAAATGGACTGTACTTATATAGTACTTTTATATCCATCCAGGACACTCAAAGCGCTTTAAACTACAATCTGTGCCCTCATTTACCCATTCACACAGCACTCTATTAGGTCTCTACAAAGCTAACATGTACAATCACCTATGGAGACTAATCAGTGCCAATCACATTCAAACACTGATGGGACACATCAGAGCCATTAGGGGTGAAGTGCCCAAGAACACAACAACTGAGACAGCTGGACGGGGGATCGAACTGGCGACCTTCCAGTTCAAGGATGACTCCCCTAACCACTCTGCCACAGTTGCCAGCAAAAACTGTAAACTTATTATTATTATTATTTAATCTTTTACTTTTGGATTGATCCTGAACTGGATGACTGAGAATCTTCACCAGCATTTTTCCAGGTATTGTGTTTCTGTACTATTTTTACTTTAAAAAAGCTGGTAAATGTTGTGTGATACCTGATAAACTGCATAGGGTACTGGTGTCGCCTCTGGCACGTTCAACCGAATGTCCTCGAACGGACCCTTCTTTTCATCCAAGTTCGTCCCATCGACCTGTTGCAACACAGAGAGGCAGGTTAAAATGTCACCGAGTACAGTACAGGGAACTAAACTAAACTAAACTCCCGCTGACTTTCAACTTCACCTCTGTGTGGCAACATGAATTCAGTCGAGCATTGAGGGCAGTTATTTATTGAGCCAAAACTACACGACAGAGTACTGTCCTCCCTGAGAACAAAGTCTACAAACACTGCAAGAATTGTCCGTCTAACCAAGTCTTTCATTCTTATATCAGCCAAAAAGTATTTTTGATCTTGTTTTGAGAATACTAAGCAAGAGCTAAATGTGTTGGATTATTAATGTTGTTAGCCTGGAAATTTTTACTAAAATTACTAAGGGATCGGCACATTATTTAAATGAATTTTAAGTTACAAGATATAACTTATAGTTATAAGTGCACAAGACAATTGCACTTGGTAAGACTTCTTGAAATAAGGAACATTTCCAGGTTACAAAGATTAATAACACATACTGCTCTTGTTTAGTTAGTCATTCTTAAAATAAATATCAAAAATATTTTTTGGCTGGATACAAGACGATGAGATTTGTTTAGGTGGACAATTCTTGCAGTGTAGTCTTTTTTTAATCTTATAAATAAGTCCCCCTAAGGCTTATTCTGAAATGTTTCATTATTAACCTTTAGCACAATTTCAATCATTTTTTCCCACAAGATGAGCTCCTCTGATACGCCAGATGTAGGCATCAATACACACAGACACGTTTGCAGATCTTTTCACAGCTTCACGGGTATTTAAAATGAATATGTATTTGGGGGGGTGGGGTGGGTGGGCAGTGGCAGCAGTTGGTGGTGATATGTACTCACAATGCTGAACAGGAATGGGAGCAACAACAGATGAACCATGGGTGTCATTGCCACGGCCTGTGGAGAAGGCGGAGATGTGGGAGAGAAGAGCCACAAAAAAACAGTTGAAGAGGCAGAGAGGTGATATAACACAGCGGGTTTGACACAATTACACATTATGAACTGGAAACATTAGGGTTTCCTCAGTACATTATCAGTCTTTGTGTCACTGATTCACAAAGACCAGCGGTCGAACAAAGAAAACCTTGTCCTTGAGCCCGACACATGCAAGCAATATCTCCTCCTCAGCACACCCCTGGGCTGAACGGGAGCTTTAAAGTGGCTCCACCTTCACAACCAGGTGAATCAACGACCTGAGAACAGAGGAGAAACTGAAAGCCAGCACCTTTTTTCCCCCTCCTCTTCCTCCCAGCTGTTTCTCCTTCTGATCCTGCAGGATATTAAAGGTCACTGCAGAGCATGTAACCCTGGTGACTTGATGACAGACTCTGTCTAAAATTAAAATTTATGCTTGTTTTGGGTGTGTTTGAGTCTCAGCTGTGCAAATGTGTGAAAAGAAAGGTCCATTTTGAATTTGCACGTGTATCTGTCTAAATGGACTTTATACCACACCTTACACAGATTAAAACCTCATTTCAATAATCTGCACAGTTTGGATAACCCTTAAAACCACTTTACAACTAGAAAATCCATCAAAAATTAAATTCAAATGTGAATAAAACTCATTTAACCAATCAAGACATCAGGAATGTGCTGAGGCGTAAGAGTTGAGCGACTCATTGAGTGAAGGTGACATTGAGTCGTTGCTAATGACCTTTTGTTGCTCAGCAGACTTTTAAACAACTAATTATTTATTAATGTTTCTTAGTCAAAAATCAATTTCTTGAATGACTTTCGGCTCTTATATATCTATCTCCATGAACTGTGTATCTTTCATTGGGTCAACACTTTTAATTTTAATAACATTTATCTAATAAAATCCCAGTTTAGAAATTATGCGTCCCACCTTTTTTTAGACTGTAAAACCTGGGATTGAGACAACTATTATAGAACTACTTAAACTCCCTATTATTGCTGACCACAATGACTAAATAACTTCTGAATAAATTCAAGCAAATATGTGTAATTAGTATGTATAATTAATTCAAGCTGTAATAAATACTAGAAGTTTAGAAGAAATAGTCATTTGTCAACGCCTTGTTCTAGGCCCAACCAAAGTCAAGTCAAAGAAAGAATATCCCTGCAGTAATCTAAAAACACGTTTTCACACCATCTATAAAAACCAACACAAGCTGACCTGTTTGTCTTTATTTACAACCTCCCCCCCCATAATAAAAAAAATCCCTTTAAACTCAAAGCCTAAAAGCACGAGACGGCAGAGCAAAGGGACTTACCTTTACAGGAGAGGTCGAGCGAGTCACTCGTCAAACCTCAGAGTGATCGGAGCAGCTTCATTCTGCTCTGGTCAAACGTTAACCAGCTATGTTTTATTGGCTCTAATCATTGTCTAATCACCCTGCCCTTCAATGCTGAGGGGGCCAATGGGGAAGAAGCTGCCATATGAGAGACAGGAAGGGCAGAACGAGGTGATTTGAAACACAAAAAAACCTTATTGCTAATAGACACAAATTTTTATATTAAATCTTTTAATTCTTGGAGGAGGTGGGGGGAGGTGGGGGTGACGAGCATCAACCAATTGATGGAGTGGTAAAACAGTAAATGGACTGTACTTATATAGTGCCTTTCTATCCAACCAGGACACTCAGAGTTTTACACTATCTGTGCCCTCATTTACCCATTCACACAGCACTCTATTATCTCCCTACAAAGCTAACCCAGACAGATCATCCTATGGAGACTGATCAGTGCTTTAATCACATTCATTTAATGGGACACATCAGAGGCAGTGGGGGTTCAGCGTCTTGCCCAGGGTCAAGTTGACGTGACCAAATAGCAGAGGAATCAAACTCAACTTTCTTACTAGAGAACAACTCGCCTAACCACTCATCCACAGCCACCCACAACTGCAAAACACTTAAAATTTCCAAACATTTGGGCAAATTATTGTGAAAATAGGAGAACATCTTTATTTAAATTTGTAATTTGGAGTTTAACGTTTTGATTTCCTTTTAGACTTTGACCTCTGCCCCCCCCCCACCCCACCCCACACACACACACACCCACACCCACAATCTCACACATTTCCTGTCAAATTTTCCATTAGTAGCACACCTGATAAGGAGCCATGTGTGAACAGAGGGACAAACAGATTACTCTGCTTCATAAGAATACAAAGCTTTGAGCTGAACCAATGAAGCGACGCAGCAGGTCAAAGTGCAAATGAACCGAGCTGCTGTTGAACTTTCCCACTTCTTCGCGGCAAAGTCTCCTAAAAAAATTGAGGAAGTCTTTGTTTTGCTTTTAAATCTTATGATCTGATCTCAGCTGTGATCAGGCTCCATGTGGCCTGAAGAAGACACCATTCTTAGCGGCTCGGCCGTAACCTTTGTGTAAAGCTGCAGGAAGTGATTCACTTTAAACCAAAACCAACAGTTGTGGCGCCGACGCTTCAGCAGATAAAGCAGCTTCGTTACGTAAAGGAATGGTCCATTCTGGCACGGCCAATACCATGTGCCTCAGCGTACACTGAACACGGGCTCGTCTCTGTGTTACCTTGGCAACACGTTTTCTCAGTTTTCAGGCCAATCTGAATTTAAGACCCGAACTCTAAAACCTTAACCTCTGATTAGTCCCTCGTATCCTTCAAACTGTAGGCTCAAAGGAGCAGTTTTTGTTTCTGAAGGTTCAGCTTCATCACTACCTGACTCATCTTTTTATCAGTTTATTGTGTTCAAATGTGAGTCATCCCATTTTAATTTCTCTAAAAAATGAGAGTACAGACAAGTTTCTTTCTCCCAACCAAAGTGTCACTTTATTTCACAGAGCAGAGCTGAAACTAGTGAATCAGTGCTGTAATAAATCTGCTTTTTTATTTACAACTCCTAAAATCATATGTCACACAAGTCAAATTGCCTTAAATAATAAAAATACTTAGAAGGATATTAGCACTTCAGGATGGAAGTTGACAAATTTGGCAAAAATACAGAATAACACGGATAGAAAAACAGAAACAAAAAATTAAATAAAATCACTTCCTTTATTTCTTTTCCATCAGAGGCTCTAGGAAAGATTTCTGTTCAAGCATGTCCAACACGACTGCAGTCCACTCAGCCTATATTAGACTGCAAGCTGCAAACTTCTGTCAAAACACCAGGAGCTGAAAGGCGATTGGATGGTGATCGTCACGAGGACCAGCCTTCCCAACTTATAGCTTTTTAGGAAGCATGGCTTCCACCGCCTCGGTCCACAGATTCTCTCACCTGCAGGCAATAACTTCTTTAACTGCTCAGACATACGGTCGTGGATCTGTGTGTTCACAGCACGGAGAGGTTGTGGCAGGACTTGGATTTGAGCCAGAACGCCATGCTGGGATTGTTCTTTGCCACCATCTTGTCGAGGAACCGTTTTGCCTTCATGGGAAGGCTCTCGCGGCGTGTGCTGCAGTGTGCATCCCTGCGACATTTGTTGTTCTCCTTGGAGTCTCGGCGCAGGCGCAGCTGTCGCACGATGCCATAGAAGGCCTCCCACACGTTGTGCTGCATGGCGGTCGAGGTCTCTATGAACTTGCAGTCAAACACAGCGGCGCATGCACGCGCCTCTGAAAACGGAGGAGATTTAAAGTCAGATACCATTGTCTTCTTTTGTAAACAGAGTGCTAACTTTAATGGCAACTGCATCTAATTCGCTGGGAGTTTCTTTTTCCTAGGCACTTCTATACTGCGTTCCAAATTATTATGTAAATTGTATTTTTCTCTGGTTTTCATAGTCAATGCAAATGACAGTCAATATAATTTTCAAGTCACAGTAGTAGTAGTATACTCCAAAAGTTCTAAGCAAAAGTTGAGGTCACACAGTTTCCCTACTTTTACCCCTGTAGCGGCCTATGATGCAGCATGAGATGGTGCATTGTGATGCATGAAGATGATCCTAGTCTTCATGTATTTCTCACAACACAAAAACCTGCACAACAGGTTTCATTCAGGCCCAGGCCGCCCTTGAAAAAGAGATTCAATTCAATTCAATTCAGTTTATTTATATAACGTCAAGTCACAACATGCGTTGTCTCAGGGCATTGTACATGAAAAAAGAACAATCCAAAGAAGAAGCCAGCAGATTGTGTTGAATCACTTCATCACAGTCTCCCATCCTGAGCAAATGGTGGAGAGGAAAACTCCCTATTAGCAGGAAGAAACCTCCAGCAGAACCAGGCTCAGGACAGGTGGCCATCTGCCTCGACCAGCTGGGTTGGGGGACAGGAAAGAGACACAGATAAACACAGAAGAACTGGTCCAGGTGCACCTTCTTCTGGAAAAGATCTCAGTGGGATTTGCCTGGTTAAATAATGGTAAATAAATAATAAATCACGCTTAAGTCTACGTGAAAATTCTTTGTCAAAGGCATTCAATTATTTCATGCTTTTCAGGAGCAGAGATCCTTTTTCTTTCCCGTATTGCTTGAAAATTGTTGTCTGCTTAATAATATGGAAAGTTTCTCTACAGCAGATTTTCCTTTAACTGAGCTCACCTGACGAATTAAACATCACAGGTGTCTGAGTGATTTCAGTGATCCAAAGAGCCTTGAGACAATACTATCCATGAATTTCATTGAAAAAAAAAAACCTTAGACACTTAAATACAATTTACATAATTTAAAAACGCAGCATAGTGCTGAATTAAACATCATTATATTGATTGAAAGAGTTTTGAAGAATATTGCAGTAAAATGTGATAAGACTCAAAATATTGTAATAGTATTTTATTTTGCTGAGATGGCCCAGCCCCTAACTTGAACACCTGATAGATCTGGGGTCGTCCTCACCATTTGTTGACACTTCTCTGCGCCGCACCAGGTCACACTTGTTGCCCACCAGGATTATCGGGGTGTGGCGGGCAGGGCGGAGGCGGCGCAGGGAGATCCTGAGCTCCGAAGCTCGCAGGAATGACGCCCGGTCAGTTATGGAGTACAACAGCAAGTAGGCATCGCCCGTCTGCACATAGCGCTCCAGGGCCCAGTCGTTCTCCATCTGCACAGAACAAAATGATAGATTTACAAACAGAGAGACGCAGCAGAGCGCCCACAGTGATGTGCAGCATCCTGATTTATTCTCACCTCTGCATCCCACGTGTCAAGCAGGATGATAGTCGCAGTCTCTCCATCCACTTCGATTTCCTTTTCACACACTTCATCTGCAATTAAAATGGGGTAATTGTTTTTGTACATTAAAAGTTTTGAAAGAAAAACAAGACTTCTTTATAAATGTCCAAAGATCCGGTGCCCCGGCACAAACAGAGCAATGTTGTATATGCTGTTAAGTGCCAGGAGGACTGCGACCAGTTATACATTGGGGAAACAAAGCAGCCACTGTTGAAAAGAATGTCCCAACACAGACGAGCTACATCTAATGGCCAGAACTCTGCAGTTTTCACTCATTTACAGGCCAGCGGTCACTCTTTCAGAGATGAGGATGTTCTCATTCTTGATAGAGAGGAACYTTGGTTTGAGAGAGGAGTAAAAGAAGCCATTTTTGTGAAGAAAGACCGTCCATCATTAAACAGAGGTGGAGGCCTCCGTTTTCAGTTGTCCCTCTCCTACAGTGCGGCAATTGCCAGTATCACTCCACCCCCTGTTAACAATAAGTGTTAATAGGTGTCAATGATAGCCATGTGATGTGAGTATCAGTCACATGGAGGCAGGGCTTAAAAGCCTGAATTTTGCCTGAAACTCTCAGACTGAAGAAGTCTCTTGGAGGAGAGACGAAACGTTTCATTAGAGAAGAACCCGTCCAGAAGACCTATACAATTTTTTTTCTTTTTGACTTCTTTATAAAGCACATTTAAAAACAATTTGCAACTTAAGTGCTGAAATAAGAGATAAAACAAAAAGATAAAAAGAGAATTTGCATTTTCTGTGAAAATACAGCATGAATGCTTAATGCTGAAACATTTTTGCTGAATAGCTGAAACTAGTCTAAAGCTAGCAAACAAAAAGTATCTGAAATTAGCACAAATAAACAGAAAATGCAGGTTTGTTGAATTATGGAGTAAGAAGTTGAAACTATCAAAAAGGAGCATAGAAAAAGCTCACATTTGCTCAAAAGTAGCTAAAAACACAGGAAACTGAATAGGAAGAAGAAAAAACTAAAATCAGCAAAACAGAAGCCCAAGCTGAAATTAGTACAGAGGAGTAAAGCAGAATTAAAACAAAATAAAATAATTTCAATTGTGTAAACATTTGATAAGCATACAGTTTTTAAAAAGTAGCAAGAAGTTGCAAGGGAAATTTCTAAAGTTAAAATTTTATCAACTAGTCGTGGAAAAATTGTAGATTTTTTTTAACCTTTCTGGTCAAATTGGTCAGCCAGCTGGCCTAACTCCAACAGTGCAGGTTTCTGCTAAACTGTTTAAGAATATTTTTGTTTGCTCATGTATAGTTTTAAATGTCTCAAAGCAAGTTATGTCCAAATTAACTACTTAAATGTTTCTGTGATATGAGATGGCAAAAACATGAAGTTCGACAGAAAAAAAAAAACGTATGGCATAATTAACTTAAAATATCAAAAGAAAGTGATATCATTATAAGCAGATGGTATTTCAGGGGCATACCTAGTTATTTTTTTTAAATCATTGTTTGAAATGCAGAAATCCAAACTTGGACCAGCAGTATCCGCAGTAAAAGTCTCACCTCCACACAGCTCGCAGTCATCGCTGTCCATGCTGTCCGCCGCACCGGCGAAGATACTCGCGAACGCGGTCTTTCCGACCCCGCTGCCCCCCAGCAGCACCACCCTGTACGGGCTGCCGGGCTCCGCCGACTGTTCCCCACCTGCCGAGTCGGAGGAGATGACCGAGTCCGAGGACGACCAGCTCCCGCGGCTGCCGTCCGACTCCCCAGCGGAGCTGGTGCACGACTTGGAGCGGGCGATGCAGGCGGGCACCCGGGCCAACAGGCCGTCCGGCAGGAGGTGGCTGCCCGGCTCGCAGATGCTCCACCGGTGAAGCTCCATCTGCAGGCGGAGGCTGTGCCGCCGCACGCTGGACAACATCACTAACTGCTTTTTTTCTTGAAACTCGATTTTTGCACTTTATGGTTCACTTTGCACGGATTCAATAAAGAGATTGTGAAATAAAAAAAAAAGAATTCTCTCCTTCTTCCAAGTTTGTCAATAAATCCAGAGTTCACCTCGATTACATGCAGCTCGTAAAATCCAGGAGCGACTTTTCCAGCTGGCGTTTCTCTAATCCTCTGATGGGGGTTCCCTCAGGTCTTTATAAAGGGGGCGGACAGCCTGGATTTACTCAAGTCCACACAGGAATCCAACTCCCTGTTTGTATTTCTGAGGGAATAATACAATCTAACATGAAATATGTTTTATAATGTCTTATCAAAGCTAATTATGGTCAAAAGTGATGTGACATTGTGACGTTCAAAAATGCTCATAAAAATAAATGTCTGAAAGTTAACCTTTTACTTGTATTCTCCACTTTTTGTATTAAAATATCAATTATATTGTAAATTATTTAACAATACAACTTTATAACAAATATATCTGCAATAATCAACAAAACAAAAACTGTGATTTAATCATAACTTTTCTAAAATTTAAAGATGCTGCACGCTGCTGTAAAAGAAATTAAATTGAAATGAAAGAAAATATATTTTGAAGTGTTTTTTTTTAAGTTATGATCAGTCAGTATCTTACCTGCTGCAGATAGCTCTTTTAACGACTGCAGGACTGGACTCCAGATGTTCTCAATGTCCTGCCTTTAAGTCACAGAGGGGCGCCTTGAATTTTCAGTGTGTTCAGGAAATTTGCATGACATCGTTTTAATAAGTAATATATATTTAATTAGCATTTCTTAAAAGCTGGTTTTGGATTTTTTTAATTAGGGTGGAGCTGCTTATGAGTTTTTATTTGTTTGTTGTTAATGCTGGTGGACTCTGGTCACTGTAGAGTACAATATGCTATCAGATACTAGTATTAATCTTCATATAAACTCCCATCAGATGAATACGGCCAGCACTTAGAAGTTAAAACAAAGAATTACTAAACCATAAAAAGTAGACAGAGGTGAAGTGGATAAACAAAAAAAACTTTACTAAATTCATGCAATGAATCAATTATTCTTTGCTGTCAACTTTTGCTGAAGAAGTTAGAATCACATCCAAGATCAGATATAAAAACAAAGTGGGAACTTTGCTCAAACCTGTATTAAAGTGCAGAGAGAGTTTCTAAGGCTGGCGTCACACTACAAGATAATCATGCCGATTTTTGCCCTTCCGATAATCTTAAGGAAGTCCAGATTATCGTGTTGGCTCTAAAGATAATCATAGCAGATATTCCCGCTGTGGGTGGTGAGTTAAGAGTGATCTAGTCGGCTCGGAAGGACGTCGGGACCGCTCCGACCTCAAATCGGGGAAATTCAACATGTTTTATTTTTTGGCCCGATATCACAGTGTGTAGTGTTCATCCGAGCTCACAGCCTGTTGAATGAGATGTGTAGCCAATCAGAAAGCGAGGTGACGTAAACACGGAGAGGATTCCAAAATACAGGAGACAAAAAAACTGTCATGACTCACCAGAAAGTTTTCTGGATGTTCAAAGTCCTATGGAATTGTTTTTCCTCTGGTAAAAATAGTCCACAAACGATCAACATGGTTTCTTCCTTGTTGCTGTAAGAACCTTGTCCACCAGGGTTCCACATCTTCTCAATTACTGAGGAAACATGAGTTATTTTATGAAAGACAATACCTCTCAGAATGGAAGTGAGAAAAAGTCCAGTTCAATTTTCTAAAATAAAGTTATTTACAGACAAATGAACTTAATTATATACAATTAAAGCTTAACAATCAAACTTTCTGAGTCAAACATTCCATTAATTGTTTTGCGTCCAAGACAACTACTGAACTGTGACACTCAGGATTGAACAAACAGTAAACCAGTCTCTGATGTTATAAAAACTAGTTTACAGACATTTTAACTTATGGCAAGGTTTAGATTAAGAAAGGAGGAAAAGAGAATTAGTAAATACTTAGTTTTAACTTTTTATCTTATCAAGATTACCAGAACAACCCCAGATCAGCTTCCGTCTCCCACTCAGCTGGACTCTCTAGCTGACAAAATCCTTGTCTCTACCTGTTGATGGCTTCACCGTCACAGAGGCAGGTCAGGAGGGTGGTCAGCAAAACTCCCCAGGGTTTTTGTTTACAGCATCGCAGAGAATCTGCTGTTTAGTCAAGAGACAAGCTTCAGCTCGGCAGTCCGGCCCTTTTCAGGAAAAAAAGTTCAAAGTTGGATTTAAGGCTGATGTTGCCTTAGCTCCAGACAGGAGACTTTTTCTCATTAGCTCTTGAGAAAAAGAATCCCGTTAAGCTGAACTTCCCGCAGGAAGTTCAGATGAGACGAAAAACTTGTATTTCGTTCCTCATTCAAATTCAGACTCACTGAGCCAGGTTCGTGTGTTAATTTTCTAAAGAGAAGAGAAACTAGTCACGACCTTGACTCTGGTAAACAGAAGGGAAAAGAGAAATTGTTGAGACTGTACAATGCTTCTTGTCAAGGAGAACAATTTTCGCACCTGTTTCTGGAGACAACAGTGTACTTTGACACAGTTTAAATGGACTAAAAGTCATTCAATGAATGCTCAAGAATCATTTTAACTGAATTAAATCTAAGAAACATTTTTCTATGATTAAACACGAATACTTCAGTAATTATACTTCAAAATATAACTCAATGAAGTTATAACTCAACAATCAACTTTGATTAAATGGAATAATAAAAAGAAAAACACTTAATCGCTTTACTGTAAGACAATAGTTGACTAAACAAGCATTTGTGTAAAACATGTAAAGGGATAGTTCAACCATTTTCTCATGGTGTGTATTTTCTTTTTTCTGAAAATAAATGCAAAGATTAACTCAATAAACAACTTTGATTTACAAAATGATGATAACTTGTAGTTAAAAGAGAATATAAATCAAAAACATGAAGAACATTATTATTTTGTTTATTAAAGAAAATAAAATAAATCTTTTAAGAAAGGATTTTTTTTCTTTTAAAAACCAAAGTCAAAGACAAGTAGAAATGTTTATTTCACCTTTGGGGAACCCCGACATTGCAAATGCTTATTTACTCTGAACTCACGTCTCTCTGGAGGTCACGTGAGATTTTTCCTCGGACATATGAATTCTCGCGAGATTTCAGGAAGTCTCACGTGATTTAGTATCTGACATCCGAATGTTCATGAATGAAATATCTTTTCGTGTGTGGTGTGTTGTCTCTTGCTGTGTGACTGTACACCACACACTGTAGGACCAAACCTGTTTTATCCATGATTTTTTATCCACAGGTGTAGTCTCTCTCAGTCTTTGAAAATCGGCCGACTGTTTTAAAATCTTGTACTGTGACTCAGCCTTAACCAGATAACTGATCTCCGCTTCCTTCTGTTCAACCTGGCAGATAATTAACAGATATCACAAGAAGCCTCAAATCTTTGTTTTTATCCATGTGTGGAGTCAACTTGTTACATATTTAAATACTATCAAGAGTTAAAACTGGTTTACATAAAACAATTTGGATAAAGGATTTAAACATATTCACAGGCTTATTATTTACTAAAATGCTAAAAAAAATAGTGTAGATGCTAATAGTTTAATAAGGATGCAAGCCTCACATTTAAAACCTTATTCTGTCCTACTGATACAAATAATACAATAGATGAGTGCTGGTGAAATAAAGTGCAGAGGTAAAAGACGAGGTGTGTCTCACAAATGTTATAAAAAAATATCAACATTTTACACCATGCAGCTGACTTATTAGCTGCTACTCTGAAGACAGCTGAGGTAGCATGGAGCTAAATTATGGCCATAAAGTTTGTTTTAAAGGGGCTATATTATGTAAAATCAACTTTTTTGAGTTTTATATCATGTTGTAATGTTATACTCTCATAAAAAACATGCCCAAAGCCTTGCTCTGACTCATTCATGCATGTTTGAGAAATCCTGCAGCGTTTTTAGGCAGCAATGCTGAGTTGCAAAACGTGAGGTGGAAACCAGAAATGCCTTTTGGTAACAGAAACGCCGTGTCTTTAAGCCGAACTTCCTCATGGCAGAGCGCACCCCCTCCCCACTCCCCACACACCCCACCCATGACTCCTGCAGGCTCTCGGGTCAAAGTGAAAGTGAAACCTAGCTTCTGAGCTATCAACATTAGTTGTCACTCTCAACATCAGTTCTCGCTATC